GGGGGAATCTGGGCGCACCTGGGGGCACCTGGGGGCAGCTGGAGGCACCTACAGGCATTTACACACACCTGGGGACACCAAACACACACCTGAGTACGCCTGGGAACACCTGGGGGCACCAGGGGACACCTGGGGGCAGCTGGGGGCATCTACACAAAACTGGGCACACCTGGGGGCACCTGGGCACACCTGGGGGCACCTGGGGACATCTACACACACCTGGGGGCACCTGGGGACACCTGGGGGCACCTGGGGGCACCTGGGGACACCTGGGCACACCTGGGGGCACATGGGGGCACCTGGGGGCAGCTGGACACACCAGGGGGGACCTGGGAACACCTAAGGGCACCTGGAACCACCTATGGACAGCTGGGGGCACCTGGGGGCACCTACACACACCTGGGATACACTTGGGCACACCTGGGGGCACCTGGGGGCACCTGGGGTCACCTGGGCACACCTGGGGGCACCTGGGGGCATCTACACACACCTGGGGGCACCTGGGAACACCTGGGGGCAGCTGGGGGCATCTTCGCACACTTGGGGGCATCTACACACACCTGGGCACACCTGGGCACACCTGGGGGCACGTAGGGAGACCTGGGGGCACTTGGGGGCACCTGGGCACACCTGGTGGCTGTAGGGGGCAACTGGGGGCACCAAACACACCTGGGGGCAGCTGGAGAAATCTACACACACCTGGGGGCATCTACACACACACCTGGGGGCATCTACACACACACCTGGGGGCATCTACACACACACCTGGGGGCATCTACACACACCTGAAGGTATCTACACACACCTGGGACACACCTGAAGGTATCTACACACACCTGGGTCACACCTGGGTCACACCTGGGTGGCCACACCCACCTTCCTCTTGTGCAGCTCCAGCGCCTGCGTCCGCAGCGCCAGCTCCTTCTCCACCGCCCCCAGCGCGCTCTGCAGCCCCCGCTCCTTCTCCTCCAGCTTCTGCACCACCTGCAGCTGCGCCTCCACCTGTGCGGGGCGTTAATTGCCCTTAATTAGCTTAATTAGGGCTTAATTAGCTGGTATTCGGCCGTTATTTGGAGAAATTATGGATTTATTAGGGGTTATTAGGGAGTTATTAGGGGTAATTAGGGTATTTTGGCGGCTTCTACAACACCTGCAGCTACGTCTCCACCTGGTAATTACTGCTAATTAGCTTAATTAGGGCTTTATTAGCCATTATTTTGGCGTTATGCGGAGAAATTAACGATTTATTAGGCAGTTATTAGGGCTAATTAGGGGAGTCTAGAGCCTCAGCTCCTTCTCCTCCTGCTTCTGCACCACCTGCAGCTGCGCCTCCACCTGCCAATTAACCCTAATTAGCTTAATTAGGGCTTAATTAGCCGGCATTTGGCCGTTATTTGGAGAAATTATGGATTTATTAGGGGGTTATTAGGGAGTTATTCGGGGTAATTAGGACATTTTGACGGCCTCTGGACCACCTGCAGCTGCGTCTCCACCTTCAAGGGTCGTTAATTACCCCTAATTAGCTTAATTAGGGCTTTATTAATTATTATGTTTTCATTATTTGAAAGAACTAGGGAGTTATTAGGGAATTATTAGGGAATTATTAGAAATAATTAAAGCAATTTAGAGACCCAGCTCCTTCTCCTCCAGTTTCTGCACCACCTGCAGCTGCGCCTCCACCTGACAATTAACGCTAATTAGCTTAATTAGCCCTTAATTAGTCATTACTTGGTTGTTTTTTGGAAAAATTAGGAAGATATTAGTGGCTATTAGGGAGTTATTAGTGGTAATTAGCACACTTTGGCAGCTTCTGTAGCACCTGCAGCTGCGCCTCCACCTGCCAATTAACACTAATTAGCTTAATTAGGGCTTAATTAGCCCGTATTTGGCCGTTGTTTAGAGAAATTACGGATTTATTAGGCAATTATTAGGGCTAATTAGGGGTGTCTGGAGCCTCAGCTCCTTCTCCTCCAGCTTCTGCACCACCTGCAGCTGCGCCTCCACCTGCCAATTAACCCTAATTAGCTTAATTAGCTCCTAATTGGTCATTAGTCAGCCGTTATTTGGAGAAATTAGGAAGTTATTAGGGGTTATTAGAGAGTTATTAGGGGTAATTAGGACATTTTGGCAGCTTTTACAACACCTGCAGCTACGTCTCCACCTGGTAATTACTGCTAATTAGCTTAATTAGCTTAATTAGGGCTTTATTAGTAATTATCTTGGTGTTATTTGAAGAAACTGCTGATTTATTAGGTAATTATTAGGGCTAATTAGGGGAGTCTGGAGTACCAGCTCCTTCTCCTACAGCTTCTGCACCACCTGTAGCTGCGCTTCCACCTGCCAATTAACCCTAATTAGCTTAATTAGGCCTTAATTAGCCGGTATTTGGCCGTTATCTGGAGAAATTATAGATTTATTAGGCAATTATTAGGGCTAATTAGGGGAGTTTGGCAGCTTCTGCAGCGCCTGCAGGTGCGCCTCCACCTGCACAGGCCACTAATTAGTCCCAATTAACTTAATTAGCCCTTAATTGGCCGGTATTGGGCCGTTATTTGGAGCAATTACCGATTTATTAGGGGTTATTAGGGAGTTATTAGGGGTAATTAGGACATTTAAGCTATTAATCCACCATTAACTCCCACTAAAAGATTATTATTATTAATCCATCAATTATTCCTACTAAATGAGTATTGATAACTACTAATTAATTATTAACCTCTATTAAATAACGAGTAATAGCTATTGATTTACAATTAATTCCTCCTAAATGACTATTAATTGCTATTAACCCATCATTAATTCTTATCAAATGACAATTAATGGCCATTATTCCATTATTAACGCCTATAATTACTATTAATCCACTATTAATTCCTATTAAATGATTATTAATAGCTATTAATTCCTATTAAATGATTATTAATAGCTATTAATCAATCATTAATCCCCATTAAACAATTATTAACGGTCATTAATCCACTATCAACTCCAATTAAACATCAATTTACACCCACCAAACCCCTCCTAACCCCCTTTAACCTCATTTAATTTAATTTAAATTTAATTTAAATTAATTTATCCCCCTGACCTGGGCCTTGAGGGGGCCAGCTCGAGTCCTTATTAGATAATTATTAATAGCTATTAATCGGTCATTAATTCCTATTAAGTTGCCATTAACAGCTACTAATCCATCACTAATTCCTGTTAATTATTAGCAGCTATTTATCATCGTTAATTCTTCCTAAGTGGTCATTAATGGTTATTAATCCACCATTATTAATTCCTACTAATTGATTATTAATTGCTATTAATCCATCATTAATTCTTATCAAATGACTATTAATGGCCATTATTTCATTATTAACACCTATAATGACTATTGATCCGCTATTAATTCCTATTAAACGATTATTAATAGCTATTAATCCTTATTCCCCATAAAACAATTATTAATAGCTATTAATCCACTATCAACTCCCGTTAAACATCAATTTACACCCACCAAACCCCTCCTAACCCCCTTTAACTCAACTTAAAATTAATTTCAATTTAAATTTAAATTAATTTATCCCCCTGACCTGGGCCTTGAGGGCGAGCACCTGCTCGGCCAGCTCGTCCTTCTCCTCGCGGAGCAGCTTGTGGATCTGGTTGGCCTTGATGCGCTCCGACATCAGCTTGAAGTTGGCGTCGTCCTTCTCGCGCAGCTGCTGCAGCAGCCGCAGGTTCTGCTCCTGCATGTCCTCGAACGCCTGGCCCGTCACGTCCATCTCCGACAGCAGAGCCTCCTCCTCCTGCGGGGGGGACAAGATGAGGGTGGGGTCACAAGATGGCCGCCGGGAGGGTGAGACATGGATGGGACAAGATGGCTGCCGGAAGCAATATGGCTGCCGGTAGGGGGCGGGGTCATGGATGGAGGCAAGATGGCTGCCGGGAAGGGGTGGAGTTACACACGGGGCCAATATGGCTGCCAGGAGCAATATGGCTGCCGGGATGGGGTGGGGTCATAGATGGAGACAAGATGGCTGCCGGGAGGAGGTGGGGTCATGGATGGGACAAGATGGCTGTCGGGAGGGGGCGGGGTCATGGATGGGACAAGATGGCCGCCAGGAGGGGGTGAGGTCATGGATGGAGGCAAGAT